TCATTTCGTCAAAATTGACTTTTTTTTTTGAACGAAATTGAAATCGATAAATTTGGCTGAAAACAGGACCAAATTTTTAGCTCTTAAGGATCCGACGTTCTTAAAACATTGGACCCCCTAGATGTATGTAAACTCAGATAGAGACAAGATACATCCATGGCGTCAGGCATGTTAAGAAAGTCGGACCCTCAGAAGCTAAAAACTTGAACCTGTTCTCGGTCAAATTACTTAGTTTCACTTTCATTCAAAAAATAAAACATGTTCATTTTAACGAGACAGTTGTTATAAGAACAAATGAAAGTTTTAATAATGCCCTACGAGGTTGTCAATAATTTCAAACAAATGAAGGAACATTCTAACAAAAGTTACTCAGGCAAGCAGAAAATTAGACATCTTTATTGTGTGCTTAATTCCAACATTATATTAGCCTTAAGGAAAACAACCTCCAACCCTATAATTTAATATAAGGGAATAAAAAAATTGAAACTACACCACAATCCAATCTTAGAACTATTTTCAGAACTGCACATTAAATTGGAGAAAGAGTTGATATAATGAGACAAGGTATGAGATGTACAACATTGTCTTAGCCTTAAGGAAAACAACCTCCAAGGACTTCAACTTCGAGCAACGGTGAGAGAGAAGACAGTCAACGCAAAGTTTTCAAATTCTTCTTCAAAATGCCAAAAAATACAACAAAAGGTCATTTCAGAAAACCGCATAGCTTTGAGACATACTATTAGGCTTCTTCAAAGACCTATACCCAAAAAAATACATCATCAAGTGCATTGAATGAGGTCGGTTCATGCCAAACAAATTCAACTTAGACAACATTGTCCACATATGAATTTACCGAACGAATGAGTGATTAAGAAAATCATGGCAAGTTGGCAACAATAATTTTCTTCGACTTTTTAAAAAACATAAGATTAAATAAATTAGGACTTGGCCCCAACTTCTATAAATAGGTAAGAATCCTCAAAAGAATTGAAAAAAACACATTAAGAATAGTATAAGTAATTGGTTAACTTTCGACCGCCCCAATCTTTCCAATCCCTTCAAATTGTCATGGTTGGTTAGACAAGAGGACCTGCTAGCATCCCCCATCTTTTTCTTTGCAATGGAAGCAATAGATTTATCGGGATGGAAGTATCCATAGCAAAACAAATATCAAAGGTGAAAAAGGGGAAAAAAATGTACTTACCTATGACAATTCTGTTTGCGGGCGACCTAACAATACTAAATAAGGTTGTAACTCTTCCTTGCATGTATACTAATGACAACAATTCAAAAATTTTAGTGGGTTCAGAAATGATGTTCAACTGGCAAATAACAACAAAATGGTGGCTATCAGAAGATCCCTCCTAATTATCTAATACACTGGGGGGAATGCATTAGGTAGATACTTTGCAAGTACGCAAACTCCTATGAATAGTCCTACTACATCAGAGGGAAATAAAGGTTAACTGGCCAAAACCAGTAAGATGGCCGCAAAATGACGCCTGAAGCCCGGTCCGGTCTAACAGGTAATCCTTTGCTAGTAATTAAGTGGTCCGTGGAAATATAAATCAGAGCTCCTCCTATACCCTTCGCAGCCTTTTGGCTAAGATCAAGTGTAACATCTGTTCTGATTACTTTGATATCTGATCCGTGGTCCACTTGAAATATATATATATATATATATATATATATATATATATATATATATATATATATATATATATATCGTCACAAACAAAACTGCCCGGTAAACCGTAGGCAGAGAGAGAGAAGAGGACAACAAACGAGGGGCTGTGACAAACTGTTTCGTCGGAGTTTCACCGACTCATCAGGAGGCTGAACCCTCAACAGTCTGCAAAATCCCCTCACTGATTACACTGTAAATGATAATCTACCTTAACCAAAATCAAAGTAGACTATCACTCACCCACACCAGATGGAAAACTCTACAGACTGTCGGTTCACACCCCATCACAAGCCAACAAAACATCCACGAAACAAAGAAAGGTCTGTCACAGCCAAAAATAACACTCCAGACACGCCGCTGGCACTAGAGCTGTCTCTTATACACATCTAGATGTGTATAAGAGCCGACTCATATATATATCGTCAAATAGAACTGCCCGGTAAACCGTAGGCAGAGAGGGAGAAGAGGACAACAAACGAGGGGCTGTGACAAACTGTTTCGTCGGAGTTTCACCGACTCATATATATATCGTCAAATAGAACTGCCCGGTAAACCGTAGGCAGAGAGGGAGAAGAGGACAACAAACGAGGGGCTGTGACAAACTGTTTCGTCAGAGTTTCACCGACTCATCATATATATATCGTCAAATAGAACTGCCCGGTAAACCGTAGGCAGAGAGGGAGAAGAGGACAACAAACGAGGGGCTGTGACAAACTGTTTCGTCGGAGTTTCACCGACTCATATAATATATATCGTCAAATAGAACTGCCCGGTAAACCGTATATATATATATATATATATATATATATATATATATATATATATATATATATATATATATATCGTCACAAACAAAACTGCCCGGTAAACCGTAGGCAGAGAGAGAGAAGAGGACAACAAACGAGGGGCTATATATATATATATATTGACGATATATATATATATATATCGTCACAAACAGAACTGCCCGGTAAAACCGTAGGCAGAGAGAGAGAAGACGACAACAAACGAGGGGCTGTGACAAACTGTTTCGTCGGAGTTTCACCGACTCATCAGGAGGCTGAACCCTCAACAGTAGTTTGTCACAGCCCCTCGTTTGTTGTCCTCTTCTCCCTCTCTGCCTACGGTTATATATACAGATATATATATATATATATATATATATCGTCACAAACAGAACTGCCCGGTAAACCGTAGGCAGATATATATATATATATATATATATATATATATATATATATATATATATATATATATATCGTCACAAACAGAACTGCCCGGTAAACCGTAGGCAGATATATATATATATATTGTCACAGAACTATTGACCAGTGCAACAGGTACCTTGGCACTACGTCACAAGGAGACCCGAGCTGGGAGGTTTGGGCCTATTGGACCCCAAACAGGAAGCTACAGCACTCCAAATGAAATGCGTAGTCAAACTGCTCCATCGCTGCTCTTCCCCTGGGTCAGATTGGTTTTGGACAACATCCATAGCTTAGCCCCCATAACAACACCAGATGACATGGAAGGCACCTTCTGGGTCATGGCAAAAGAGTGTGCAATGGAAACAGACTCAGCCAGAAGAAGAAGGTGATCTGCCAACGCGGCCACAAACACTAGCCCAAGCACCAGACCAAATCCCCGACCTTATTGGGCCTTTATACTTGTAGCCTGGTGGAAGCCCATATCCAGGAAAAGTCTGAAACCTAGGACAAAAGAAGAGGCCCTACAACAACTTCTGATCCGTAACCAAAGGTGGAGAGGACAGTACATGGTCCCTCTTTTCCAAAGACACTAAATGGCTCTGGTGCGTAGAGAGAAAAGTCTTGAAAAATAAAGCACGTATGGAATGACGAGAGAAAAACAGGGAAGTCGGTGTGAAAGCTAAGAGAATCCCTAAAGGACTGTCAGTCTTAGGCTAGCAACCGCACAACAATTACGGACAATGTCCCCTTCTCCTGGGCATGTCTACTGAAGGAGAATTTCACATGGAAGCCAGAGGATCGGGGGCTCCTGATAACCGAACAGACACCGAGCAGAGCGTTCCACTTCATAGAAAGAATGGAGGGGAGTCGTTACGGACTGAAGTTCAATGTCCCCCTCTCCTGCACATGTCTACTGAAGGAGGATTTCACATGGAGGCCAGAGGACACCCAATAGACACCTACCAGAGCGTTCCACTTCATAAAAAGAATGCAGGGGAGCCATTACAGAGTGAAGTTCACGTCCTGGCTGCTGTGGAAAGTACAGGTAACAGACCTAGAGGTAGTGATACCCGCTGTCTTAAGACATATACCAGGAGTGGATAGTATTGGGAACAGACCTAGAGGTAGTGATACTGCCCGTCTTTCGCCTAAAAGTAAGGGTGATCAAGTATGACTCCTGCAAAAGATTACACACAATGGAACATCATATTGAAGAAAATAATATGAGCTTTCAAATCGCAGCACCATTATCTCCCACCACATCGTCCTCGACACTCCACACCTGCCCAGGAACACTTAACCCTTCCAGTCGTTACGCCACTCAATAAGGAAGAAGTTTGGATCTCACAGAGCATCGAAAACTTGGAATATGACCAATGGGAATGGCAATGGGCACAAAAGATTCCAAGAATAAACCTCTCCATCGCAGGGTGCACCGCCAAATGTGGATACTATGTGGGGTTAAAGACAAAATACCCAACCCCTGAGATTCACGAAAAGATGGAGAGAACCGTTCCACCTGAATTGTATCGACCCTGTCGAGATCCCATGGAAGAAGTTTGCCAATGGCTGATCACTCACATGGCTCTTCCCGCTAACCAATGGCTTCATACACAGAGGGAAAAACAGTTGGACCCCAACAGCTCCGCCCTGTGCAACATGTGCCCAAATGGCATAGAAGAAGGCTTAATCCATTGCCCGATCAAATGCCTTGCTGCTTTCCCGGTATGGAACGACGTAACCAAGCTGTGGCTCACTCACTTCACAATCTCTCCCCTCAAATCCCTTTTTCAAAGTGGTAGGCCGATCCCCGAAAGACGCTGTGTGTTAACTACCACGTCGGAACAAAATAGCTGGGAAAAGTACTGTTTTTTTCTATAATAATAAAAGAATTCCCTCCATTTGTGCTGCTGTTAGTACCCCTTGCTGATCCGAACACTCCCTTGCAGTAATGTTAGGAACTCCAGGCCTTTTTTTTCTTTTTTTTTTTTGGCCCAACGGGTGCTATGTTCATGCTATGAAAGCCTAAGCCTACCCCATTCCTGGGACTAGCTCATGCTTTCCAAGCATGAGGGGTTACTTTACAGGTGCATAAAATGTGAATAGCTACTTGTCATGCTTTGTTTTATTTTCCCTTCAAAAGACCACATTCAACCAACCTTTTTGTAACTCGCAAGCTCCTCCATTGCTTGTTTTTTCTCCAATTCATGTTTTTCTATTAAAACCTGCACCTCAGAACACAAAGGATGCAACGACGTTAGGGCTTATCCCCTTTAAAGTTTAAACTTTAAACAGGAAAAAGAAGTTAAAAAAAAAAAAAGAAAAAGAGAGAGAGAGAGAGAGAGAGAGAGAGAGAGAGAGAGAGAGAGAGAGAGAGAGAGAGAGAGAGAGAGAGAGAGAGAGAGGGCATTGAGGGAATGGAAAAGAGGAGGTTGAGAGTGCTTAGCACAAACAGTGATCACTGCGCATGTGAAGGAACAAGTGAGCCCAGGTCTTATCTGAGGGTTCCGGGTGTGGGACAGCTTTCATCAAACACTTACCATGAGATAACTATCCCCACAATGAGAGAGAGGAGGAGGAGACAGTGCCCCATTGTTAACCCCAGGTTGTTGAGGACGAATGGGTCCAGAATCTAGATCTCATTACAGGTCTTCAACCAGAGTGTATCATTTTCATGAGACCTATGGGTTTTGCTGGAGTAATCTTTCACAATGGGCTGTAATCAGGCACCTTGGTACCCTGTGCTTCCCTTGGTCCATTTCTGGTCCCCGGTGGTTCCCAGCTGTTCCCAGTGGTCCTTTCTTCTGATGCCAGTGGCTTCCAGCGGGACATAGCGATTGTCTCCAGTGGTTACCAGTGGTCCATCTTCTGGTCCCCAGTGGTACCCAGTAGGACCAAGTGGTTCGCATTTGGTCCACCAAGAAGTACCCAGTGGTTCCCAGTGACTTATTTTCTGGTCCGCAGTGGTTCCCAGTGGTCCATTTCTGCTCCCCAATGGTTCCCAGCAACTCCTAGTGGTCCATCTTCAGGTGCCAGTGACTCCCAGTGGGACCTAGTGACCGTTCTCTATGGTTCTCAGTGGTCCATTTTCTGGTTCCCAGTGGGACCAAATGGGGCCCGGTGGTTCCCCGTGATCCATTGACTACCGGCTTCACCCGAATAGAGCGCCTGGTCATTGTCGCGGTACCCGACTGATAAAGTCGCACCAAATACAGCTATAATGACCGGGCGTTCTATTCGGGTGAAGACAGTAGTCCTCAGTTGTTCCCAGTGATCCCTGTGGTTCCCAATTTGATCCATTTCCTGCCTCCAGTGTTTCCCAGTGGTTGATTTTCTGGTCCCCAGCAGTTCCAGCAGTTTTGAATCATCATTCTCTGATGCCAGCAGCTCCCTGTGGTACCTACTGGTCATTCCCGGCGGTCCATCTTCTGCTCCCCAGTGGGGCCCAGTGGGCTCCCAATGATCCATCAACTAGTCGTCAGTAGTTCCCGCGTGGTTCCCAGTGACCCATCCCCTTTTTAAAAAAAAAAAAAAAACAGAACCTCCCGCGCGGTTCCCAGTGACCCATCCCTTAGTGCCCAGTGGTTCCCGGTTTTCCATTTTCTGGTCCCAGTGGTTCCATTGGCTCCCATCCATTCTTCTATGCCAGTGGTCGCAATGGAACCTAATGGTGGTCCCAAGTGGTTCGCAATGGTCTATCTTCTGGTCCCACGTGGTTCCTGTAACTTCCTGGTGACCCGTCTACTTGTCCCCAGTGCTTCCCAGTCATCCATCTACTTGTCCCCAAAGATTTCCAGTGATCCACATGGTTCTCTGCAGCCCATCTTCTGGTCCCCAGTGTCTTCAGTCTCATTTCTACAATACAATTTTTTATTTTATTTTTTATTTTATTTTTTATTTTCTGCACGTATTCCTGCTCCCTCCATTCTGGGGAGCGTCAGTCTGGTTCCTTTTCTTTCTTTTTTTTTTTTTTTTTTTTTTTTTAGCGTCCGTCTGGTTCCTATTCCACCGGCAAGTCAGAATTTACATTAGGATCACTCACGCTTCCTTCCGTTTGGCCGAAGGACCCCTGACAATACAATTTTTATGTCCAATATCGTGCTGTAATTTTCATGTTTTCCGCCATTTCCCCTCTAACATTGTTGTCCCTAGTGATGACACTGAGCAAGGTGGTCCTGCACGCTGTTGAACAGATCACCAGGTTTTTTTTGGGGGGTGTTAGGGGGGTTAGGGGCCATAGGGGGTTCAGGGGATCAAGGCCTTTTGAACACAACCTTTTTTTACTGTCATGCGATGTGTGCGACGCACGGGTGGACCTTCAGGGCCACAAAAGTGAACCTGTCCTTAGTGTCATTTCATCTTCAAGCTAGGCTACCAGCCAGGCCGCCCGGGTCACCTTGTTTTCCCGGGCGGCCCGGCCGTGCAAGGTCCCGGCAAAAAAAAAAACAAAAAAACTATCCAATACATCCCGAAAAAAAAACACTATATTATGCAGAAAAAAAATAAAACGAACAACTTTGGACTCAGGATCACATCCAAAATCTTTACCAAATTTAAAATACAAAAAAAAATAAAACCAAGACATAATTTAATGATAATTATAATTTTTTTTAATTTTTTGTTTTTTGGGACCCAGCCGGGCAAGTGGTCCCGGGCCACTCTGGTAGCCTAGTCTTCAAGTATGGTCATATTAGTCCATACCACAACCAACTTGAAGAAGTGTGAGAACAAGAAAGCGCACTTCATGTAGAATAAAAGCACAATGTGTGAGGCTTTACTCTCGTGGAGGACACAATGGGCGAAAAACAGAACTGCAGCACCTTGAGAGATGCTAGCTGGCAGGCAAGCATAGAAACTTATGTGGTTCGAGATACGTATCCCAGATAGTTGGTTCTCCATATCAAAGGACGCTGGAATAAATAATACAAAGAAAAGAGAGAGAGAGAGAGAGCTGTCTCTTATACACATCTAGATGTGTATAAGAGACAGGGTCTACTCAACTTGCTAAAGTATTATTAATAGT